TTTTCTTTTACTTTCTCATCTTCTTAAAATATACTAGGAAGCCAACAATGCAATCTACAAAGAAGTTAGCCCCAAGAAATTAAATGGTGATGACTCACAGGTAAGTAGAATGAAGTACACTGGGGAAAGAATGCAAAACAAGATGTGCTTGAGATAAGACAACTGAGATAGTACAGTACTGAAATACATTTATTTTTGTACTAGTCTGGAGTGAAGGTAAAATAATATATTTTGATGGGGGAGAATATTTGGAAGAAAAGGGTTAGGTTTTTTTTACTCCTCTATGCAAAATTACAAAAAACAGCTTTTGATCCTATATTGCTATATCAGTTAAAACTTCAAACCAAATGAATCTATAATATCACTCCCATTAAGAGTCTGTGCCAGTACAATGCTACAGAAGTACGTCATCTGGAAAATACTGTAATAAAGGATATTAATAGAGATGGGAAAGATTGAACTAAAATAGACACTAGATCAGGAAAAAAAAACATTAAAAATAGCAACAAAGCTAACATAGACATACTGAACTACACTTTAATAATTAATTCTCTCCAATTATTCACCCACTGTCTGTGCATGTATGCTATTACCTGTGAGGGATGCTATGGCTTCTTTCACTACAAAGGCTTGACACAGGAATGGAAATCATGCAGCTCTGGATTTTATTTCACAGTTGGCTGCATAGGTTAAGGCAACTGGCACATATAGTTGGACAATAGAAGGACTGCATTATTACCATCGCTGGTCAAGCAGATATCTTTGCAGTAAAGCTCTACCAGACAAACTGAACAAAGTAGTAATGATTTGATAAGATTTGATAAAAAAATTGTGCAGGTCTGCTTCCTGCAAGCTGTCTCTCAACAAGAGAGAGTTTCAAGCTGCTGTGTTCTTGCCAATGAAGGTTTCCTTTCCAGAATAGTTCTGCAAAAGAATTTACCTTATTAGGTTCTTGTGGGTTTTTTCGGGCTATAGGGCCATGTTCTAGAGGCATTTCTCCTGACGTTTCACCTGCATCTATGGCAACGTCAGGAGAAATGCCTCTAGAACATGGCCCTATAGCCCGAAAAAACCCACAAGAACCTAGTGATTCCAGCCATGAAAGCCTTCGACAATACAATTTACCTTATTACTTGCTTTTGTGGCTGGTTTAATTTTTTTAAAGGCAATTCATTACACGTGATCCTATGTCATACTGACATTAATTTTGAGCTGTCCTAACTAGAAATTATGCTACACAGATTTCCCCAGAATCCCAGCTGTTATCAAAACTTGGTCAGACTTGAACTTGTAGTATGTTGTTGTTCAGTGCTTTCAAATTATTTCTGATTTATAGCTACCCATCTTAGAGGTTTCTTAGCAAGATTTGTTCTGGGATTTGCCTTTGCCATCCTCTGAGACCGAAAGAATGTGACTTGCCCAAAGTCACCTAGTGGATTTCCATGGCCAAGATGGGATTTGAACTCCAGTCTCCCAGTGTCCTAGTCCAACACTTCTGCTAGCCACACCGGTTCCCACCCTACAATATGTACTTCCAAAAATAAGAACACAGCTATGTGTTGAAGGAATATCAATGGAACAATATTGCATATTGGGGTCGGTGGTGGTTATTCAGGAACATAAATAGCTTAATCAAGGCAGGTTAAAACTTCTGTGCAGCAGAAGATTATGCAAGGATAATGAAGTGAAAGAAAGAAAGAATCTTGTGAGATTGGTTTAGTCTGCAGTCCTGAATAAACTTGCTAGAGAATAGATCCCATTGGGCATAGTAGGACTTACGTCTCAATGAGTATATTCTGGATTACATTATTACAATTCTTCCCTCACCCATCTGTAGAACTACCTATGTGTTTGGTGAAGGATTCTCAAGTATCTATAATTCAATAAAGCAACTATTCAGGTATTGGACTAAACAGATAGAGATAATTTGCCAAGCAGCACTGTTCGACAAGCAACCTGAAGGCTTTGTTCACATGGTCATATAATATGTCCTGAAAACAACCGTATAATCCATTTCGCCTGCATCTATGGCAGGCATCCCTAGAGGTTGTGACCTCACATCCTCTGAGGAGCCTGCCATAGATGCAAGCGAAACGTCAAGGAGAGAATGCTTCTAAAACATGGCCATATAGCCTGAAAAACCTACAACAATCCAGTGATTCCAGCCATGAAAGCCTTCAACAATACATTAATCAATTACTCTTTGTTTCACTACTGGAATGTCCCATCTACAGCCAAAACAGACAATATATCTGTCGCCTGTCTTTTTTCCTTTATTATATTTCATAAGATCTGGCTAGATTTTCAGTATAATGACAGGCTATACAACAGAAATGAGTTAATTTTCCATAAAAGCAGTCAATATGTGAAATTTAGTTTCTGAGCAAAGCCTCCAGGAAACTTTCACTTTGAAAACTAAAACAATACATTTTGAAATTCTAAATAACCAGGAAGTGTGTTGTTTTAATGCTTTGCATATTCCTTTGCCTTATTTTATAAATAAACAAAAGCACAGCAAAACAGGCAAAAAAAAAAACCCTGACTAATATATCTAGATGTGCAAATCATGCAAGGTTTGAGGAGGACTTTGATTTATTTACATAGAGACAGATACACCCGTCCCAACTACCTGATAGCAGGCTATTCACTTTTACAAGCATCCAGTTCTGACACATTTCACACAGTAGCCCCAACAGTAATAGATGGCAACACACTGCCCCTCTACCAGGCCTTTGCACCTGCACTTTCACAAGTTCAAAATACAACACTCTGAGAGACGAGAAAATAAAATATCCTCATAACAAAATTCCAACTGAGAGAAAACACTGCAAACAAAATTCACAGTAATATGTGGAAATTTATTGATGAGATTTCTATCCTTTCTCTCTTGATCCACTAACAGCACTCAAGGTAGCTAACAACAACATCCAACAGAGAAAGTATAGTTAATAATGTAAAGCAAATTGCTGTAATTAAAACCTAAAATGAAAAGCATTTAAAAACAAATATATAAGTGTGGGGAGGAAACCCAGCACACACCTGAATTTAAAACCCCTATTACTCTACCTTCTTTGCTGAGAATGGAGCAATGAAAACAAAACTGAAAAGCCAGAATCTTCTGACTTTTAAAACTGTTAGAACTACAAACATTTGATGCCTTTCCTTTTTTGGAGTCACGTACATTAACTGTATATCTGATCCCCATAAGTGTCTGTGCTTGATGATCCTAAATTCTTTAAAAGGAAAACTTTAGAACATGAATGAACTTAGATTCTTACGCTCCCCTGGAGAACTATTACTGAAGAGGAAAACTGCAGATGTATTGTATTTTAAATCATTTCAATGTATTTCTATTTTGTGCACATTTCTCAAACAAGCAATAGGAGCAGAAGATTGGAATTTTAATGTGCTGTGTTTTTAATTGTTCTGTTGGGCTTTACCCCATGTAAGCAGCCCTGAGTTCCTTCGGGGATATGGAGGCGGGATATAAAAATAAAGTTGTTGCTAGGTTCTTGTGGGTTTTTTCGGGCTATAGAGCCATGTTCTAGAGGCATTTCTCCTGACGTTTCGCCTGCATCTACGGCAAGCTTCCTCAGAGGTAGTGAGGTCCTGGCAAACCACATGAGAAGCTGAAAGTGTGGCATCTGTAGCATCCATCACATAAAGTCTCTGTTTCATATATTGGTTTAGGCATAGTTTCTATTGTGTACGCCAGGGGTTCTCAAAATTTTTAAACAGAGGGCCAGGTCACAGTCCCTCAAACTGTTTGAGGGCCAGATTATAATTTGAAAAAAATATATGAATGAATTCCTATGCACACTGCACATATCTTATTTGTAATACAAAAAAACACTTAAAAACAATAAATAATTAAAATGAAGAATAATTTTAACAAATATAAACTAATTAGTATTTCAATGGGAAGTGTGGGCCTGCATTTGGCTGATGAGATAGGACTGTTGTTGTTGTGTCCTTTCAAGTTGTTTCAGACTTAGGTTGACCGTGAGTGAGGGCCAGGTAAATGACCTTGGAGGGCCCTATCCGGCCCTCGGGCCTTAGTTTGAGGACCCCTGGTGTACGCGATACCCTTCCTTGAAAATAATCTGTTGTAGAGTTTATCTTCTCTGAATGTTTTACTGACCAACTCTATGCACATACAGTATTCTATAGGTGGGACAGCAGCATGAACGATAACAATTCTCATTTGCACAGTTAGCAATGCCTTTGAAGGCAAGGGTTATTACTAGCATACCAACTGTGACAAGCTTGCACTATATAGTAAGAATGGTGAACCTGTGTCCCCACTTCCATAGATCTTGTGGATCTACAGTTTCCATCAGCCCTGTTAGCCAGGGCAGATGCAAGCTGGAGTCTTACACCCAAATGACCACACACTTTCCATTTTCCCCCACAAGACAGTTACCCTGCTCCTAATCTCAAACTCTTTCTGATCTTATACATGTATTTCTATATGAATGAAACAACATATTATTGTGTTAGACAACATTTCCACTTAGGACTTCATCCCACAGGTTTAGGGATCTGTTTTCATGCGCTTCAGAAACACAGCCCCACAGGAGCACCACGGAGGTCATCACATGACACAAGGGCACTTCCAGTGGTACTCCGTGGGGCTCCGTTTCCGTAGCACATGGTAACAAAGCCCTAGACCCGTCGGATGTTACCTGATTCCAAATGGAGAAAAGCGGGATAAATTGGGGGAAAGATGGGCATTGACATGGTCATCCCAGAAGATAAAGAAAAACAGGAGGGAGGGAAGGAGGGAAATATAGTTCCCTTTGCTTCCCCCTACCCCCCATGGGATGAAATCCTTAATCCAATTATCTAAAGCAAAAGAACTGCATCAAATATTTCTGGAATGGCTACTGACTTGTTAAAAAAAACTTTCCTTTTTGTTTCATACAGTTCTGCCTGAGCTTTTAAGAAAGAAATAAAACTTTATGAAAAAAATGCCTGTCATCACAAGGCAAGGGACTTACCTGTCACTGCACAGGCTTCCAAATCTGGCTCTTGGTCAGTGAATGTTAACAAAAAGCTGGGGTCCTCTTTAGAGCTACCCATCACACCGGTTGCTTTTCCCTCTCTATTCATTGCTTCTGGTTTCTTGGAAGAATTATGGACTGCCTCCTTGAGACCAATTTCCCTTTCCTTTGATGGACTCAACAGAGCCATACTCTTTGGAGGTGTTTTTGCATCTTTCAAAAAGACAGCTGTTCTCTCCTCACCTTGGGAAGACTCAATGGAAGCAAGATCATTTTTGTTTGACATCACAGTCATCAGCACAGCTTTTTCCTCACCATCCTTGGGTTCTTTCTCTTGTTCGGATAAAGCAGTTGAAACAACTTTCTCCATTCCTTGTGGATGCTGCTGGGTTGATTTCACAAACCAAATATCAAGGCTTTGGTAGATTTGGAGGAATTACAGCCAGACAACCTATAATTTAAAAAATAAGTCAAAATGGCTCACATTCCAAAGCATTCAGAAAACTGAATTTCAAGTAAGTTCTTTCCAGGGCTTCTACCTAGAGTACCTTATACCTAGAGGCAGTACCTTACACACTAGACTGAAGAATAGTAAATTCCGTTTAACAAACAACTGTGAGAAAAAAATGAAAAATAATATAATATAAATGTATGTGTATATGTCTAGGCAGCCACCAAGTTATGAACAAAATAGGTAGGTTTGTTCTTAAATTGAATAAATATTTAAATCAGAACAGGGAAGTATTGACATCTCTGTAGCATTTGTTTGGCTGTCTGTGCCATTTTTCAGAAGATTTCACCTCACTTTCTGTCCCTGTCATAATTGGATTTTGAAAAATTTGGCTTGTTATGGAAACAAGGATTGGTGAAGATACCTTTTCCTCATGATGACTCTTTCAGGAGTGAATTTCCCTTCCAAGGAATAGATTTCTCTCATTTCCTGTTATTTCCCCGTTGTTCTTAACTATGAGCTATTTATAAGTCGAGTGTTTGTAACTCGGGGGCTGCCTATAGTGCCTACTACAACCCTTATATAGATTTGATTCTGCCATAGGTGGCTGATCAGCATATCCTATATACTAGGAGTGGGGAACCTTTTTTCTGCCATTTGAATATGTATAGCATAATTGGTGGGCCATACCTTTATGTATATATTTATTTTATTATTATAAATAATTATACAATTATATATTATAAATTATACACTTATACATTAAAATCAAATGAAAGTTCCAAAGGCCATGCAGCACAGCTGCTTCCACTTTGGCCCAGACAAGAGCAGAAGAATCAGGACCATGACTCGGAAGAGCAACAAGAACTGGGTTAAGTTGGTGGACTAGGCAGGCATCCTTCCCTGTTCCAGGCCAAACCTAATGATTGTGTGGTCCTTATGCCCTGCTGAGAAATTCATGAGCAAAAACAGCCCAAATTGTAGAGTAAATGCCTGAGAGGTAAAAGTATAGTAAATGTAACCCTATTATCTACTGGGACAGGGAAGAAGAGGCAGCAAGGAGGGAAGGCTAGTTCCCAAATAGCAATCTGTCTCCCACCTCCTGCAGTACTGACAATTCATCCCTGTGTCAAACCTGCAACCAAAAAAACCAGGCAAAAAGGGTTTACGCAAATCACGGCCACAGATCCTGTTGAGCATCAGATCCTCCTGATCCAGCCTTGAAAAGAGAGGAAAGGGGGCAAGAGAACGACAGTCTGGGCTTATAAAACCTCTAACCTCATCCTCCTTCAGTGACCTGCCTCAACAAGCATACATATCAGTTTAACCCTGATCTGTACCATGGGAGACCATCAAAGGTGCTTCCTCACTTACAACAGCCACTACTTGGTGGTCTTAGGTGCTCATTATTTTTGCTCTGATTGCTGTGCTAATCCTGCATCTTGGATTTAGATTAGAACATGTCCAATATTTGTATCATCGACTCCTGGGGTCATTTCTGTGCCCTGTCATTTCTTTAATCTTCATCTGAGATTCAGTTTTGGCAAGGATTGTTAAAAGCACCAGGTCAGAGTAAGTACTTGGTTAGTGTTCAGGTGAGAGACGAATGGCTAAGCCAAATGGTCTGAGGGGCCAATGCAGGCCCCCCATCCAATATTCCCCACCCCAGCTATATGCAAACTCACTATTGGCTCACAGATTGGGTCAATTTGTCTATTTCGTGAATGGAAAGACTCCTTTCATTCACAGCAGCCATTCATTCAACTGTTTGTGGAGAAAGCTATTTTTGCCAGTTCCCCCATCTCTGTGGCTCTCCATTCCTGTGTACTCCTGAGCTCTCTGGAGAATATTAGGAAAGATACAAGGGGAAGAATGAGAAAATCATGGGAAAACTGTCCTTGTTTCACTGGAAGAGAGTCCTATATGCAGAACTCAGGGCCATCACCATTGGTTTAATGGGAAGAACTTACTTTGAAGTTGCAAAAATGTCTTCGGAAGCACTTTATTGTCCTACCAGTGCAATCCAATCCTATTTTGTCCCCTGGACCCCCTATCCTGACACATTACATTGCCCTCTCACCCAGTATTTTTAAAATTTTAATCCTTTGTAACTGGTCCAGCCCACTGTGGTTAATTTTCTGTGTTCAAATGTTCTGGTTTTATATTGTTTTTATATTGTTTGATGTGTATATTTATATTGGTTCTATATTTTATTTTTATTTTTTATTTTCTGCTGTGTTCTTGTTGTATATTGTTTTATTGTACTACTGGGCTTGGCCTCATGTAAGCCGCCCCGAGTCCCCTTGGGGAGGTGGTGGCGGGGTATAAATGAAGACTATTATTATTATTATTATTATTATTATTATTATTATTACCACATAGCATTACAGCCTATAATTCTGAATGTACAACCTTTTCCTTCTCAGAAACTGTAGCATCTAGATTATTCTTCAAATTAAAGCTGCTAAAACTTGTTTAAAATCCTAACTTAAATTCAAATCTGAGGCATGACCATGGAAAGCAGGTATAATTCCTGCTGTATCTTCACTGATTCAAACAAAAAATAAAACAAAAATAAAAATAATACAAATGTATTAGTCACAGACTTATCTGTTTGCCTGCCTACTGAGTTTCAGAATGCTTGACTGAAGAAATCTTTATTTAAGACAATTTAAATAACATCATAGCTGCAGGAGAACCTAGGGATACATTATTGCTTGGTCTACTTGGCACCACTAGCTGGTTTTTTTTAATTGAGATAGGTGTCTGAAGAACCAATATTAAGAATATCAATCTGAATCCCAGAGAAATGCTACTATGAGGCAGAATTTGGCATGGGTCAATTGCCTTGCGTCCCCTCCGGGGTGAGAAAGTCAGGGTAGAAATGTTGTAAATAAATAAATAAGGTGGTCAGTGTGGCACATAGGCCAATGCCAGCAGAACAACAAATGCAATTGCCACTAGGAGGAGATAGATGCCGAAGAGTGATACTTTGTGAATCCTATGGATGTCTGAGCAAACACACTTGGCTGGCAAAGGGGGAGTGCAAGATGAAATACATGAGAAAACAGTTTGGGAAGCTTTCCTACCTCTCATCCACCCAGGATGAACCCATTTGTTGCACTTTCTTCCATACAAGCTGTTCCTGGATGACATATTCACTAAACAACAATAGCATCTATGCCATGCTTTCTCTCATCTGTTATGTTGTGATGTGTGCCAATACTGACCTTGTGAATACATTTTTTATTCACATAGATGATGAACATGAAGAGCAACAAATACTGTTCTTGCAATGATGATAAGTAAGTCCCCCCCCCCCCCGCCCCTCAAATTTTCTATCAGAGTTTTCCCTGTGTGAACCTTGGGTTGAAGACCTAGATAGCACATGCCACAATACGCTGCCTCTGACAAATGCCACTATACAAAAAGCACCGACCATGCTGGATGGATGCCCTGCCAAAACTCCCTTTGTTGCATACCTTTACCAGAGAAAGATACAGTAAGCTATTCAAGATTTAATTTATTATGGCTACTGTTGGGTAATAATCGATTTAGGTGCCATTTGTTGGAAACGCAATGCAGACACACAAACTGCACCCTTTATCAGCACTTGAACAGCATCCTTTTGAAAGATGTTCAGATATATAAGGCAGAATCTTTATCATTTGCCACTGATGCATTTAGAAAACACAAATCAGAATGGTATTAACTTCAAAAACCCAAACTAGTTAATAATAATATAGTCTGAACACATTACATTGGGATGTCCTCAAACAATCTAGGAAAAGATGCTGAAACAGCAGTGTAGTTAGAGTTGTTTAAATCGGAAGAGCACAATCCTATGCAGCTTTAGGTTGAAGTAAATCTCACTATATTAGTCTCAAAAAAGCATTCACAGCATCACAGCGTAAAAGGGGGGTGTATTTCTTCTTGTATTTTCCAAGCCAATATCATAATCATAGAATTAACAAAATGTCAGACATCTCAAGAGATTTTGCTGACGTATTTTCCAAGGAGAAAATCAATCTGAGGAACTTGACCAAAAATTATGACACCATGCATGCTGAGCAGAACTAAAGATTTGTCCCAGTCACAGCAAGTTTAAAATCTGAATTTCAGCAGTATTGTGTAGGAAGGGAGAGACAAGAATAAACAGAACTGAGAAGCAGCCTAGCTGAAAAGATTTCCCCCACTGTAACTATTACAATATGAGCATAAAGACAAACCATTGAAAAACCTGGGGATAGCATCACAGGAATGTTGCCAGAAGTCCTAGATTTTGTCGTCCTGAGAGGCAGTGGCTTTCAGAAAGTAAAGGTTTTGCACAACCATTTCCCTTTGTAGTCTTTCTTCCCTTGACACCAGAAGTAGTACCTTGAGTGTATAAACAATTCTATTAACATTAGATGCTAGTTTCCTGAAGATGCTAAATACCTGATTACATTTGTTGTTGCTGTAGCTGTGTGCCTTCAAGTTGTTTCCAACTTACAGCAAGCCATTCACATGGCTTTCTTGGCAAGATTGTTTCAGATACATTTGTCTTTGCCTTCCTCTGAAGCTGAGAGAGTGTGATTTACCCAAAAATATCCAATGAGTTTCAGTAGCTGAGTAGGTAATTAATACCCTGATCTGCAGAGTCATAATCCAACACTCAAGCACCTTACACCATGAAGACTCACATTGCCACAAGTAAATGCAATACTGTGTTTGGAATCCTGTATCCACTTTCAGCAATTAATAGAGTTAATGCAAAAGAAAAAAGAAAAGATTCCATCACATATGAACTACTCAATTATGAAAAAGCCAGCATTCACTCTTGGTTGTAACCATAAGCCTTTAAACATGTAGTTAACATTTAATTAGTGTCTGCCTGAACATGCAAACAACCTGGAGCAATTGTTCTAAATTCAACAAAACAGACCTTTAGACAAAGTCATGTTTCAATTAACCTTTATTATTATTATATTAAAATGTCACAAACATGGGAAAATTTGTCT